TCCTAACAGAAAATGGTTTGTAAATAGTTTCTCTTAGTCTGTGGTTTATTTTCTTAACAGACTTTCAAAAAGCAAAAGTTCTCAATTTCAATGAAGCACAATTTATGCATTGTTTTCTTTTATAGATGGTGCATTTGGTGCTGAATTCAATAACCCTTCAGAGTTTTTTCCCCTAGAATTTACAGATTCTTATATTTAGATATATGGGCCATTTTAATTTTATTTTTATATATGGTACAAGATATAGCTCCTTGAGGAAAGCACTAAATCGTTCACCATCAGGAATGCTGTTAGCTCTAGATTTTTCTGAGATGTCCTTTATCAGATGGAGAAAGTTCCTACTTGTGTTGAAAAACCTTGAATCGTGCTCAGCACACACTGTGACTGTTGTGTTGTGCAAATTTAGATCTTGATCGTTTTTGGAGATTGTCAAGGTTTTCCTGGGAGCAGACAAACAACCGGGCCGAGTCTACACATGAAGTTTTGCGTGGCCCCTGTGGTTGATGACTGGACTCCATGTTCAGCGCTCTGACCTCAGCCACCTTGGCATGGGTCTGTCCTCTGTCCTAGCAGGTCTCAGTTAGGCCACAGCTGGCCTGAGTGATTTGGATCTTGGTTCCATTCTCTAAACACTTCTTCACTAAGCTTTGCAATTTGCAAGGCAAACTCACTGTCCTCCTTTGGGAGATGAGGCCCTCAGAAGCCAAATCCCAGTCACTGCCTCATAAGGACAAAGGCCACATAAATGGCCTCACCTGCCTCCTCAGGGCTGCTGGAGGAGGAGGCTGCCCACTACCTCTGCTCCTATTAGATGTGTCGCAGAGAGCTGATCTCCCTGGACGCACTGGGCCAGCATTGTAACACTCACTCGGCTTGCCCTGCCCCTGCCATCCTGGACTCAAGAGCATGTGGTGGGATAGAAGATGGGGAGAAATCCAAGGAAGGGGTGGCCCCATTTTTTGATATCTTGGCGGCTCCCCATGGTCCTTGGAGGTTCAGCAGCTGAGGTCAAGAAATAATAGTACACCAACCCACACTTAGAGAGGACTTGCTGTGTGCCCACTTCCGCGCCCAGTGTACCCCATCTACACTCTCTGAAACCACACCCATTTCACAGAGGAGGAAACCACAGTTCTGAAAGTCCCTGTCCTGAGCTCACATGTCTGGTCAGTGCAGGGCCTCCAGGCAGAGCTGGACCCATCTTTCTGGGCACTGGATTGCTCCGGTCACCAAACCAGTTCTTTTGCTTTTCTGATTCCACCTGCACTCAGAGGAGCACCTCTGAGAGGTGCCCAGAGGAATGCACCTCCTGCAGCCTCTGACCCAAAAGAGACGGGGAGGAGCAGGTTCCCCAGGGCCCTGGGGCTAAGCAGGCTCCAGCTGCCAGCCGGAAATTAACTCAAGAAACAAGGGCGATGTCTATGGACGCAGAGCCGACGAGGCTGGCTGTCCTCTGTTCTTCATTAAGTAACAAAGGGAAAACTCGGCCGCGCGTGGGGCGTGCGCTTCTCACCGGCACCACCCCAGACTCCTGGAACATCTTTATCCACTTACCCAGGGATTGAGGAAATTCTCTTCCAAGCCAGTTTTATTGGAGATTTTGGAGGCAAAGCTCACAGGCTCTCAATCAATAACAGATGAAAAATGCTCACACTGCATATTTTGGGGAGGGTTCTTGCCCAGGCTTGTTGCTTCTCAAGGCCTGGCCCTGGACATCCCCATCTGATCATATCTTGCTGGGAAATGAAGTTCAAGATAGTTCTAGAAACCAGCAGCCAAGGATGTGAGCCAGATCTGGAAAGCCGCGGATCTAGCAAGGTTGGAGTCTGGCCTGCAAAGTGCCCCTTGCCCCTTGTCTCCTGACTTCCACTCTGGCTCATCTTCCATGAGTGCTCTGTGTGGTGTCCAATCTACAGCCCATAAAGACTCAAAGGCAGCCCGTGGCCGAGCCAGGGATAAAAAACACCAGTGTGCTGATGAGGGCGGGTGGGCCACCAGGCTGAGCAGGAAGCCTGTGTGGCACAAGCCTTCACAGACACATGGAGCTGGAAAAGAAAGCTCTAGGATGGTCTCTTGAGCCTCCATGTCCATCTTCATAGCTGGCACGGTGGAGAAGTAGGGGACAGGATCAGGGAAGCCTGCAGAGAATGAAGCACTCTGGGTAGCCTGTGACCATCTCTAGTAAACCCTCACTACCTAGAAGGGGAAGTGAGGTGCACAGTGTACTTCCCACACCTCAGCAAGCCTCACTGAGCGCCTGTGGTCTGCCAGGCACAAGAAGGTCAGAGCTATGTACACGCAGGCCCTGCCTACTGGAGTTTGCATCTCGCTGGCTGGTGTAGAAACTCTGCCAACATCACAGCTTTCTCACTGAACTTTTTAAGAGATCGTGGCCTTTCCCTTGCACCACTCTGGAGATTCCATCACCCCCAGGCGAGGTCATCTGCGCCTTCTGAACCCCTTTACCATAAACAACCTGCTAAAAAATACTTTGGTTTTGCTACAGTCATGCCCATTCTTGGGCAGATGTTTGTTGAACACCAACAAGGCTCAGGCCCTGTGCAAACACGAGCTGTGGAGGCAGGAGGTGTGCCAGAAACTGGGGTGCCGGAAGATGGGAAACGTGTGCAAGGACTCTAGGAGAGCTTTGGGCTGCGGCAGGATGCAGCTGGTTCAGGTCCACAGTGCAAGGTCAGGTTCAAGCCCAACTCTGCCAGTAAACTTTGTGTCCTATCTGGACCTCAGTTTCCTTGTGTGTAAAATGGAATAATGGATTGGTATTTCTGTAAGTATGGCCTGTGGACCTCTTTCTTCAGAATCAGGTTGGAGTGGGGAGACTTAGTGAAAATGCAGATTCCTGGGCCCCACAGTGGACTTCAGGAGAAAGGCGGCATGGGAATCTGCATTTGTAATACATTTTGACTGTGCATAAATGCCAGTGAGCTGCACTTGGATTCTGTTCTGAAGTGGATTCTTCATGAAGAGGGGGGGCCTAAAAGCCTAAGAATGAAAGTTAGGCAACTGTGTATTAAATGACTCTAGAGCCTCGAGTTCCGTGTCAAGTGCTTTCTGTGTGTTATCTCATTTAATCACCATGACAACCCTTATCCCCTTACTAATTCATTTGTTTAATCACTCATTCTGGCCTTTTGCTTGGCCTTTAATTATGGACTGTATTGATCAGGACCCTTTCATTATAAGTGGCAGAAAGATAACTTGCAGTCCTCCTACCTCAGCCTACCAAACAGCTGAGGTCACAGGCATGCATCATCATACCCAGCTAGGAATTTATGATACTTGTATCTAAAATGTCCAAGGATGTAGAACTTTAATTATGACCAGATGCACATGGTTAGCTGTTAATGTAGGAACCTCTCCCTGCACCCTTTGGTTCTGTTTTCCTTTGCTTGGCTTTGCCCTCAGGCAGGTTTTTGGTTTTCCTCTCCTGGTCCAGTTGCCCACCAGCAGCTGTAGGTGGTGCCCCATCAGCTCAGCCACACCAACTGAAAGAAGGTATCTCTTTCTCAAGAGAGCAGCGGAAATTCCAGACTAGCTTCTCATTGGCCTAGCAAGAGTCACATGTTCATCCATGAACCAATCACTGAGGTTGATGGACTCAGGGCTCCGATTGGTCAAAACTGGTTCAGGGCACCAACTCCAACAAATTCCATAGAGGGAGCTCAGGAAAGAACTAGTTCCCCCAAGGAAAGTTGGCTTGCAGTCTCTGGAAGAGAAAATGGATTCTGGGTGGGCTAGAAGATAAGGATTATCTTCTACAGAGAGGTAAGAGGATTGTAACGTACTGAGCTTCCGCAACCCAGGAGCAGTTTGACTCTGGGCATGGTCATGCTTTCTCTCCAGTGATTTTCTGTCAGTTTCATGTTGGTATAATGACTCCAGGTGGTTTGGAAACACCAAGACAGGACTGTCTCTCTGTGGCCGAGACCATGACACTGACACCTACAACTGCCTGGATGTTTACTACATGCATGGTCAAGCCCTCCTTGGACAGGATTTTTTAATCCTGTCTGAGTGGGCAGGGTGAAACTATTAATCCTGTTTTACACTGGAAGAATCCAAAAATCAGAGCGATGAAGGACTTTTTAAAATAAGAGTCATGAGCCAGGTGTGGTGGTACACATTTACAATCCCAGGGCTCTGGTAAACTGAGGCAAGAGGATCACTAGTTTGAGCCCAGACTGGACAACCTAGCAATTTAGTAAGACAATGTCTCAAGAGAAAACATAAAAAGGGTTTGGGGAAGTAGCTCAGTGCAAAGGTCATGGATTCAACTCCGAGTACCAAAAATTAATAAATAAATAAATTAAATAAGTCACAATTTAGATTCAACCCAACCTGGATGATGCTGGCATCCTACTGTCTGTTTCTGCCCTGGGAAGGAGCATTCCTAACCCCAGCTGACATTCCCTTTAGTCCAGGTAGGTGAGGAGAGGATAGGTTTGCTAATTTAGAACTAGACAGAAAGAAACACCTCAGTGACTGGAGGTTTTCTGAGCCCCACTGCCAGTTGAACAAGGTCCTGGTTTCTGTTGAAGCCACATGGACACAGGCCGCATGGGGACAGGACTGCCGGGAGCAGGGCTTGGGCAGGGCCCACCCTGCAGGACACATCTCAAACTTCCTGGGCTGCAGGGTAACCAAGGTCACTAGGCTTCTGGGAGGGTGGGAACCAAATGTTTGCAGAGCTTCCATGGTGTTCCCAGAACTGAGCTGGGCTAAGGATACCAGGAATCCTGCCCATCATAATCCTCGTGGGATGTTAAGATCTCAAGCAGCCCCAGAGGACACATTGTTCAGGGCTTGCAAACTCAGCCATCAGGCAAGGCAGGCGACTGTTGAGGCTGGTGTGAGTGGGGCATGGAAAGGCACAGACCGCCCTCCAAGGGAGAGCCACCACTTGGCCCGTGCCACATGGAAGAGTGGACCCCATGCTCTCCCATCTGGATTTTCTGAGAGAACCTGGAAATTTGGTGAACACCTCCAGACTTAAAAAATATTTTAATTTTAAAAAGACACCAAAAGAATAAACCAATGTGTTCACAGGCTGTATGATCTCATCTTGCTTTTACTATCGAGGATACTGAAGCCCAGAGAGGGGCGATAACACGCCCAAGGTCACACAGCTGAACCAGAACCGGATCTTCTGCCTTCAGGCCTGTGGTCCTGACCCTGGGTCACCTAGTCCCTCACATGTGTACAGCATGTTCCTATTTACAGTGTCTCACTCTTCATCGCAGCCCAGGCAGAGGCAGAGCTGGTACCGGCCTTCATTTTGCAAATGAGGCTACGGAGGCCCAGAGGAGCTCAGTTTCATGATCAGAACCACAGTTGGAGAAAGGAATGCACACATCTGGCCCAAGGGCAGGCCTGCTCTCCTAGCTGGTGTTAAACACTGCTGTCTGGGTTCCAGCCTGGGTCAGGTCTGCACTCTTTGAAGGAGAGAGATGACAGGGTTAAAAGACACGACTCAGCTATGCTCCCTTAAGGACAAATGTGTGTGACTAAGGAAGGCACCATGAGAGGGACAGCCACCTTGGGGAGGACACAGGGTTAAACACCTTCCACCAAGTGTCTCAGTAAGGCTGCACAAGCCCCCATGGGAGGGTGGGGAGGCAGCTTGGGCACAGAGAAGTAGACTCACCTGCCACACCTACATGGTGACAGGACTGGGCTTTGCAACCAATGGTCTGGATCCAGAAAGCTAGGCTCTAGAAATATTACTGGAAAGAAGGCAGAGGGTTGGTACCTTCGGGGATCCTGCTGGACCATCTCAGGATGCCACAAGGGAAGGTAGTCAGCTTTCCTGTTACTGGAACAAAACATCCAACTCCTGCAAGTTAAGGGAGAGGCTTATTTGGCTCGGTTTTAGTGGGTGGAGTCCACAGTCAGCTGACTTTAAGGGAGCGATGGTACGGTGCAAGGGCCTGGTGGGGCAAAGCTGCTCAGGTCACGGCTGCCAAGAAGTGGGTAGTGGAGAGCTAGGTCCTGTCCCCAGTAACACACCACCTCCTCTGGTCAGGCCCCACCTCCCAACAGCTATGAACTGATCAATGTTGACTCCATTGATGAATATAGGGCCCCATGAGCCACCTTCCTAACACATGAGACTTTGGGGGTTATTCAGATCGAAACTGTAACAGCTCCCTTAGAGATGGGAATCCATAGGTGATTAAAAGAAGCCCAGGCAGCCAAGGTCACTGGGCTAGAACTGAGCTTGGAGGCCACAGGAACTAAGCTTTCAGTGTCAAGAGCACACTGATGTTCCAAACAGTTAGATCCAAAGTCACACAGCAGCTTGGTGAAGAGCCAGGGCTAGACCCCAGATGGCCTTTCTGGACTGCATTTCCTGCTGCCCCTGGATTTGTTGACACAGTACCCTGCGGTGTCTGAATCTCTGCTTAGAAGACTTTCCCAGATGGGATTCACAGGGGTCAAGATCCCTCCTGCCTCACCTCCCCATCTTCTGATGATAACCCTTTTAAAACTTCGTGGCTCAAAACAAGTTTTATGGTCTCTCTCTTGTGTGCGTGGTTGACAGGACTCAGCTGGTGCTTCTTTGGTCTGCTGGAACAGCAGGTCATTTTAGGGGTTCAGTAGGGCTGGATCCAAGAGGGCAAACTGCCCTGGCTGGTAGTTGGTGCTGGCAGGAGGCTGGGGGCCAAGTGGCGCAGTGCCTACATATGGTCTATCCACATGACATGGGCTGCTCACAGCATGGCGGGAGAATTCCTATATGACCGCAGATGAGAGCCTGTCTCCCGCAGTAGCCAACCCGGGACCAGGTGTGAGGCTGGGAGTATCCAGGACGATAGTCCAGCACTGGGCATGAGTGCTGGTAACCCAGATCCCTCCTGGGGTTTTCCACTGGTTGCAGGGACCCTCACCTAGTTCCCCTCATCCAGGGCCTCTGTAGGCTCTCGAGTCTAGTGTGGCACCTGGCATGGAAGAGATACAAAATAAATATTTGATGGAAGGCGAGAGGGACTGAGGGAGGAAGGAAGGAAAGGAGGAAGGGAGGAAGGGCTTCCTACAATAACCTGTCTCCTCCCTGACCCTGCAACACGCCGAGCCCCTGCACACCTTGGGCCTTTGCACTGGCTCTTCCCTTTGCCTGATTGTTCCTCCCCCTCATATTCCATGGCCACATCCCTCCTGCCATCCAGATCTCAGCTCGGAAGTCTCCTTGTCAGGAAGCTCTCTCTACCCCCCAGTGTCACTTCTACTGCTAACTATGCACTGCGAGTGATCCATTCAGAAAGTTCATCACCAACTGAAATGTTCTTAATCACTTCTTTATAGTAGTCATCGTCCACTGCCCTCCTTCTAAACCCAGATTTCTCAACCCTGACATCCCTGAAATTTTAGGGCAAGGATTCTTTGCTGAGGGGTGGGACATTCCGTGCACTGCAGAAAGTTTAGCAACATCCCCCATCTCTGCCCAGGAGGTGCCAGCCATATTCTCGGCTGTACTGTATAGCCCCAGACATCACCAAATGCTCAGTGTGTGTGTGTGTGTGTGTGTGTGTGTGTGTGTGTGTGTGTGTGTGCAAAATTTGAGAACCACTATTCTACAACACTAGTTCTCACCCTTGAGCAGCACTGGAATCCCCTGAAGATGCACGGATTGCTGGCATCCACCCCAGCATCTCTGCTGCAGGGGTCTAGGGTGGGAACAAGAATCTGCATTTTCACAAGTTCCCAGAAGATGCCCAGGTTACTACACACCAAGAAACACTATCCCCAAGAGCATAGCGGTTGTCCTCTTGTCTCCTGTGTGTGGAGGACAGTCCCTTTCCACAGCGGACCTGGTAGGGGACAGGGAATTGCATGTGTTTGGGGAAGGGTGAGCCAGCACTGCACACTCTCCGTGGTCCATCCACCGGCTCAGTCACAGTGAGGCCACAGCTTGGAGACAGCGAGTTCCTGTTCTCTCTGGCTTTGTCCAAGGTGGCTTTACGGCTTCGCCATTCACGGTGGATTTCTCCACGGGTCTCCCCAGCCATTCTCCTTACCATGGATGGGATAATTGCTGTGCAAGGCTCACAGTGCATTGCTCTCAGAGCCACCCTCCCTCTATGTCCCTGACTCCCTGAGGATGGATGCTCCTTGTCCCCATCCCTGCTGTCTTGTGCCTGGAGGACATGGCAGAAGATGGTGCCACCAGACAGCAGGTTTCAGTCCAGAGCTCTGCTGGGAAGGTCAGGGTTCCCTGGGGGCGGTGATGGGACCTCATGTAGCCATAGTAACATTGACAATGATGACCACAGGTGCCGCTGTGGAGCTCACTGGAGACCAAGCACAGTAAAAGGACATGAGTGACTTGTACTCCCTGCTGCCCTGTGAGGCGGGTACATGGTATCACCCTTCTTTTACAAAGGGGAGACTGAGACTCTCAGAGGAGATGTCATTTGACAATTTTGTTTGTTTGTCTTTTTGAGACAAATTCTCACTAAGCAGTTCAAGCCAACCTTGAACTCACTTTGCAGCTCAGGCTGGTCTCGAACTTGCAATGATCCTCCTGCCTCAGCCTCCCGAGTGCTAGGATTACAGGTATGCACCACCACACCCAGCTATTTGTCCCAATTTGAATGGACCTGCAGAATAGGTGATACTTGGATGAAAACCTGTCTTATTGCCTGACGCCTCATTCCTAACCTTTCCTCCAGCACCTCAAACTACCTCAGGAAATGCTAAATGATTTCCTGGTGAGGAGGAAAGTTTGGTGGCTGGGCTGCCATTCCACTGCTCCCAGCCCCCACCAGACATGCTAGGCCTTGGGGCCTCTGCATGTATGATCCCCTCTCCCACAGGCTGCACAGCTTCCCCACCTCTTCTCAGAGAGGTCTTAGATTACCCTCCCAATGAGGACACCCTCACCTCCACCTCTTCAAACTGCAGTATCCACCAGGACTTGGGCTATTTCCACCTCCTCACCTGCTTTCCTTTCCTCCATAGTGCCTTCTCCACCTGACACACTCCATGCTTTACTTATGATATTTTTATCTGTTCTTCCCACCAGAATGTCAGCCCCATAGGAGTGGAAAGCTTTGGCTTGTTTGTTCATGGCTGTGTCCCCAACACTTGAATCCCCACCCTGCCAAGGCCTGAGTTCCTGGTAGATACGAGGAACTCTCTGAGTGTTTGTTGAAGGGAAAGAAAGAGGGAGTGGACAGAAGGAAGGGGGGAGAGAAAGGAGAAAGGAAAGGAAGAAAGAAGGTTAGGAAGGAAGAAGGAAGGGAGGCAGGGAGAGAGGAAGGTTCTTAGTCCTGATGTGTTAACACCTTTAGATTAAGAAACCCCTAGCAGATTAGTGTATCAAGGCTGTGTGTCTAGGTCGGTCATGGAGGCATGATGTTGGGCACTGTGTATGGTGCCTGGCCCCTTCCTCTCTGGCTCTGCCCCTCGGCCCTGCTTCCCCCCCACCACTGACTAATCAGTGATCTGCTCCATCCTTCTGCGTATTTCTGCCCTGAAGGCAGCTGACCATGGACTGAATCTTCTGTGACTGTGAACCAAATTAAATCTCTTTTCCTTTAAGTTGTAGAGTGTTGGGTATTGTGTCCCAGTAATGGGAAAGCTGATTAATACAGAAAAGAAAGGAGGGAGGGAGGGGAAAAAGTAACCAACCATGGAAATCCCCAGTTAAAAACTGATAAATGTTTCCTGCCGCAGGACCTCACAGAGCCTTCATAATTCTGTGTATTTTTCAGCCCCCCGCTGGGACCAAATACCTGACACACATGATTTAAAGGAAAAGAAGGTTTATTCAGGCTCATGGTTTTAGAGGTGTCAGTCCATGGTTATCTGGAGCCATGGCAATGGAAGGATGTGGTGGAGGAAACCTGCTCACCTCATGGAGGCCAGGAAGAAGAAGACAGGGAGGGGGAGGAGAGAGAGAGGGAGGACGGGGCTGGGGCAGGAATACACTCAGCTCACACCTCCAGCGACCCCCCTCCTCCACCCAACCCGACCTCCTCACAGTGCATTCAGCCGTGAACTCATTGGTGGGTGCCTATTGGGAGGTACAGTGCCTCATGGTCTAGTTAATTACAACGTCCCCACCTCTGAACATGCCAGACTTTGAAGGAGCAGTTTTGCACGCAGGGTCTCTCTAAGTCACTAAGCTGTTCAGGCCGGGCTCAAACTGCCTCAGGTCCTCACAGTGATGGGCTTAGAGGCATGTACCAACCACACCCATCCTGTTTCATGTTTAAACCAATACAAGTTTAACATATATTTCAGCTGTAGCAAGCTAAGACTGCATGCATATATGCTATATACACTTTAAGGAAGAGGCGTAACTGTCATTTGATGACAGCAGTTTGGGCAGTGCTGCAGCTAACCCTGAGTGTCCAGGACATGTGCCCTCCTGCTCATTCTCTCTCTGCTTCATAACAAGCGCCCCTGGTTGTCCAAGCACATGTTTGCCTCCCCGCACACCCATGTGGAGACTGTGGTGAGGGTCGCCTGTGTGACAGCACGGGCCCGCTTGCAGAGAAGCACGCTGTCATAGCATGCTGAAAGGACTGACTGTCACAGGCGGGGATAGGGCAGCTCACCTTTGAAAGAGCCACTCACCAGGCAAAAACAGGGTGGCCTCAACTCGGGACAAACAAACACAGGCAGACAACGAAACCATTGGAAGTAGCTGGGAGCCACAGAGACTGCAAGAGCTCGACTTTGCTGCACGGGGGCACCAGGGAGCAGGTCACCCTGGGACAGCAGTGTCCGCGTCTTTATCTGCAGAGCCCACAGCCCTGTGGGCTGAAGGACTCTGGAAGTCAAGGGTGTCTCACTAAGAGGAACTTTAGTCTCTGCTGACCAAACTGGACTGACTTTAGCACCTTGAGGCGTCTCTTACCTGCAGAGAAGCTGTCACTTAAATTAGACAAGCGGTGTCCAGATCTTGCACTTCTGCATCCACAAACCGTGGCACAAGTCCTGGCTCAGTCATCAGCTGAGTCACACAAGAAGTCACTTTACCACAAGAACCTCAGTCTCATCTGTAAAATGGAGCAGCAGTCAGATCAGACTGGTCACTTCCTCTTATTTTCCTTACAGTTACTCAGATTCACGCATCCATTCTTTGTTCATGTATTCATTCTTCATACACTATGCTGGACTCCTCTAAACCCTGGTCATCAGCCTTGGTCTCTGACAGCCAGCAGCATCCCCTGTCCCATATGTGGTCTAGAGGAAGGAGAAAGCTGGGCACAGAGGGCAGGTTCACTTACGCTGCTGAGGTCCTGCTGTGTCCTGTTTTTTTTTTTTTTTTTTTTTTTGTCTTTTTCATTTTTATTGGTACCAGGGATCGAACTCACGACTGCCTGCTTGCAAGGCAGGCGCTTATGCCGCTGAGCTAAACCCCTTTTGTTTCCCCTGACTTACAGATGTTACAGTGTAGCAAATGCTTGCAATGTGCTGGACTTTGCACTCTGCAAATTCAAAGCAAATCACTGAATCCTTCTGGTGACCTTCTGATGTACATGCTATGATTATTCCCTTTTCCTGGAAGGGGAAGTCATGGCTCAGAGAGGCTAAGAGCTTGCCTGAGGTCACACTGCTGGAAAGCAGTAAAGGTCCTTCCAGGCTTCTGGGTGCTGGTGTGGCACAGTTATGGGTGGGCTGAGAGAGAAGAACAAGTTGCATAAACAAAGTAACCAAGACTGGCGTCTATTTGAAGCTCATAGAGAGAGGTAGGTAGGTAAGAAGTGTCATGTAAACAGTGTTTGATGTGTACACAACGAAGAATGGCAGAAACCAGTTACCAGCCAGAGATGAGCAGAGTTAAATGTCGGTGAAAAATTTTTTCGCTTCAGCCCCATATAATTCTGGAATCCATGCACATCGTATCTGCATGTGACGAGCCTTTCCTAACAGGACTTTTTCACTTAACAAGACACCGTGGTCATTAATTAAGTATTCTCTGTGGGAAAATGACTGTAAAAAATGGCTTGGTGTTCTGACTACGGGAATGCTTTACCCTCCAGTGGATAGATTTATCCTCAACTTTGCGTATTTAAATTGTATCTATATTTTAGTGTTATAAATGGCTCTTGGATGAACATTCTTATAGATAAATCTTTCTCCACATCCTCAGCGATTTTACAAAAAATTCCCATGAGAAGAATAAGCAGCCGATGCCCTCTGCGGGCCAGGGCGGGGTGGGGGGAGGGACAGGGGCCGGCTGCGCTGGGCCGGCTGGGCGGGCGAGCTTTGGTTTAGCCTCCTGACGCCTTAGAGGGGTGGCAGCTGATTTGTTAGAGCTGCCACTGAGATCCTGGCACAGCTGGGCTCTTACAACTGTCCTGAGGGCTTTTTCCCCACAACTTCAGCAGAATGTGGATATTTTGTCTATGGAATTGAATTTTCATCTTAAAATAAAAGAAGGAAGGGATTGATAAACTCAAAGAATCCCAGAGTGGTTAACCTTGTGTCACCCCCTAAGAAAGGTGACAGACCCTGCCTGGGTAGGGAGACCTCTGGCTTACCGTGGACTGTCCACAGGACCTTATAAAAGTCACTTAGTCTGCTTGCTACTTTTCAAAAGGAGAGCTCTGAACAAGACCACCGAAGAAGCTTCTAGCTCTAAAATGCTGATTCCCTCAGCCCCTTGGCTGTAGCAGGAAAAGCTACGTTTACAACTCCTGGGACTGGAGGCCCAGCTGGAAAGCATATCGCTTAAGATCATATCACAAATCAGCAGCAGCACCAGGGCTGGAACCCAAGCATCTGAATCCTGGGATCTTACAGTTCCCATGCTGTGCAGGTTGTGACAAGGGTGTGCACACATCTCTCAGGAGGAGTGTTTGTGTGTCTGTGAGCTGCCAGCTCTGTGAGTGCACACATACCTGTATGTACACACACACACATATACAACTTTGTGTACATATGTGTTTGTTTGTATATGTCCATGTGTCCGCCCTTTCTGCACGTTCACATCTGCCATGTATATATGTTTCTGTGTGTATGTGTTGGTGTATATGTGAATGAGTGTGCATGGATCATCATGTGTGTATCTGCATCTGCACATCACTATTCTGGGCCATAGTAGTGTGTGTGCTTTTCCCTACGAGTGTGTGCACATTTAGGTATACACAGCATTTGTGAGTCTTGTGCAGGGTGGGACCCTGACCCCAAGGTGAGCCTGGGCGTGGTCCGTGCTGTGTGTGGAGTCTTCCAGCCGCACAGGGTGGCAGGAAAGCCTCCCTTTGAACATGTAGGGTGTCAGGCTGCTCCTCAGGGCACCTGAATTGGGGCTTTTCACTGGGATTTTTCCTTCTGCTCTGGGATGCTGCTCCAGCACCCTCGCAGAGGACAGGGACTCAGCCCACTCCAGGAACACGTACGGGGTTCATGCTGGGCATGGGAGAGATGGAGGCAGGCGAGGTGGGTGGGATGGGATTGCTCTGGCAGAGGCCACAGTGCAGCGCCAGGAATGGCAGTCAGCCGTGAGGGTCCCACTGTTGTGGAACTTTCTGGGGCTCTGAGCTACCCTCACCAGGACCTACAGGTGGGCGGGGCTGCTGGGCAGAGTGACCAGGTGGTCAGTGAGGTGGAGAAGGTGAAGACAGTGGCAGAGAGCGGGTGACACATACAACTGTGCAAAGCGAAGGGAAGAAATAACCAGAAGGCAGAAGTGAAAATGCAGCTTCATTTCCCCCCTGGAAGTGAAGAGTTAAAATGTGGTGGATGCTGCTTCTGTGTGTATTTTTACCCCTTGAGTTGGAATCACACATCGTTATCGTTTGGAAACTTGCTCTGATGTTTGTGCCGAAGGGATGCTGACAGACGTTTCCCACGCTGTAAGCGCAGCCTTGAGCATGCGCAGTGAAGGCCTGTGCAAGCTCAACCCGGAAACTCCTATCCGGCGGGTACCAACCTCTTGGGGACTCACTTTCAGTATCTGTACCCAGAAAGGAAAAAGGAGCCTCCTTCCTGGGGCAGCTTGGAGGATTAGATGAGGTGATGGACGGTCAACCCCACATACCTTCAGCAGCCTAAAAACCACAGATACAAAATATTTTTTAAAAATCGTGTTTGCACTAAACATGTACAGACTTATTGTCAGTAATCTCTAAACAGTACAGTGTAGCAATACACATTTATGTAACATTTACATTGTATTAGGTATGTAAATAGCTGGCATGGGTACAGAGTGGCATGCAACTGTAACTCCTAGCAGGAAGGGAAGGCTGATGCAAGAGGACCTCTTGAGCCCGGGAGTTCAAGGTCAGTGTTGTAAGGTAGTAAGACTATCTCAAAAAAATTAAAATGCTATTATAAGTAATCTAGAGATGGCCCAAAGTATAAGGAAGGATTACAGACTAAGGAAAGCAAATCTGCCACTCTTCAGTGAGGGGACAGGCGAATGACAGAACAGATGAGACAGGACGGGGCGGGGGGGGGGACATTTGGGCTAGGAAGATGGAGGGGAGGAGGAAGAGAGGCTGTAGCCCCTGCACCGCACTGAGCGACTCTCCTAGCTCTATCCTTTGTAGCTGTGTGAGCGTGGGCAACGTACTGTCCTCTCTATGCTGTGGTTTCCTAGGCTGGATTAACAGTGGCACTTACCTCCTGTTGAGGGTGGGATTGTCCTAGAAACCGCGTCTGACACACAGTGCTGAGTTGTCATGAGGATCCCCTGTCCTGGGAGCCAGGGTGAGGGTGTCTCTTAATGTCAAGTGCAGCTTCCCTCGGGGCTCCTTGTTCCCAAGGGTCCAGCAGGGGCGCCTCCTGGGTGCCTCCCTCCTGACTTATCTCCCCTGGGTGCCTCTGGCCCCCCTTTCTTATCTTGCCTCCCGATCTTTCCCAGGACTCCGATGGGGGAGCTTTGTGGTGTCTGCGGTTCCGCTGGAATATCCAAGTCAGCCGGCCCCACACAGACACACAGACAGGATCTTTCATCCTGGGAAAATGAGCCTCTGTGTCCCGTGCTCAGACAGGGCCCGTCTTGTTCCCCACTTTGCTGAAAATGCTCTCCGCCGCCCTCACCTCAGGAGCCCTAGCAATGAAGGTGATCTTGAAGATGACGCCTCCCTTTCGCTGGCTCAGTTCACTGCCCAGAGCTTCACTGAGCTGGGCCCATTCACAGGAGGGAAAAGGCCCACAGGAGGTGCCGCTGCCGCCAGCGGCCCCCCAAAGCCCTGGGCTGCAGCTGGGTGAGGCTAACTGCTAAACTACAGACCTGGAGTGACTGGGTGTGGGAGCCAAGATGGGGGGGCGGTGCCAGGAGCCCCGAAGATGGGGACCTGCACTCAGCATAACCACTAGCTCAGGAGGTCTTAGTTTTCTGGAGCTACAGCCTGAACACCAGGGAGAGGCTGGCCCAGACGTCGGAGGCAGGAGGAGCCTTGGCACCAGGTGGTCACATGTCTTGAGCATCATCAGCATGGGTGACAGTGACAGCTTGCTGAGTGCCCGTCATGCCAGGCCCTGCACAGAGTTTTCATTTCTCTTCTTTTCTACAGGCAAGTATTCTTACCTGCATCTTTCAGAGGATCAAACAGGCTCAGAATGGTGATGTGATTTGTCCAAGGCCACACAGCTCCTGCAAGGCAGAGCCAGGGTCACCTGCAAGATCCCAAGACGGCATCTGGTTACAGGATTCATTCGGGATCTAGGCGGGTGAGGCTGGGCCCTGATGGTTCTCTCCTGAGCAGAAACAGGTTTAGAAATCTCTGGGCTAGAAAGATGATCGGCCCCTTCAGAGCTGGGTGGTCCCCTGGCCCCTGATTCAGACGAGGAGCGCCTCGGGTCACAGGACGCATGCCCAGCAGCATGCCCTGCTGGGCAGTGGGGGGACCTGGAGGATCAGAGGGCCCTGTGGCAGAGAAAGCACTCAAACTTTGACCTGGACGATCTCAGATTTTGCCCTCACGACTACTTCCTTCCTGAAAACAGAGGGCGAATAGCATCTTATAACATGGAGGATTCATGAGATATTGGGGAGCCCTGAGCCCACACTGCGGCCCGTGAGGTCTCCTCTGCCTGGGTTCAGGATCGTTCCCTTTGAATCTCCCGTGACAGTGCCCTGTACCCCTCTTACAGCATTGACAGGACTTCCATAGCCACGGACAAGTTCCAGGTAGGTGCTCACAGACTCACCTGTGATTGGTCGTGAGTACTTTCTTAGGTCTTTTTCCTGGCTGAAGCATGAATGCCTGGCATCCACAACTTGAGGGAGAGATTTATTTTGGTTCACGATTTAGTCCACAATCAGCCAGCTTCAAGGCAGGAAGGCGTGGTAGAGGGGCCCGGGAGAGGAGAGCTGCTCATGTCAAGGTGGCCAGGGAGAAGAGAGAAGGGAGGTTTCCTTCCGGGTCATGCCTCACTGATTGCCTCTTCTATCCAGACCCGGCCTCCTGAGAGCCCTGATGAGCACAGCACCCCCATGGTCCAACCACCTTCCTAAAGCCCCGCCTCTCCCACCCCACTCCCCCACCTCAGACCCCTGGAGGAAGGCACAGACACCACCAAAGATGAGGCCCCGGAAGCAGAGCCTGGCCCCGGGCCCTGGTGCAGGGGTGCAGGGGTGCAGGGGTGCAGGGGGAGGCACTCCAGGGAGGACTGAGGGGTGATGTGCAGGGCAGCTGAGCAAGGCCATGGTCTCAGCAGGGGACCCCCTCAGCTGCTCCCCAGGAAGGGCGGCTGCTCCCACAGTGGCTGGGGACTAGGGACCCAGGAGCAGCGGGTATCTGGGTGGGACTCAGACAGCACCCAGCACACCAGGCACCCTGTGTCGTCCTCCAGACACGCCTCACATCCAACAGACTGTGGCCATGGCCCGCTCCCTTGTGGGGCTTCCATTGTGGCTGGTCATTGTCACCTGCTGCAGACACCAACCCCTCATCTTTGGTCACTTTTACTTCTGACAGCCATCTGCATCCAACCTCCTTCAAAACTACACAGCATGCCAGGCCACAGTCCTCTTCTGAAACCCTTCTGCCTCAGCCATCACCCTGGAAACGACACCGGCTTGGTCTCTCACCAGGGTTTAGAGAGATCTGCCCTTTCTTTGCCAACTTTGAACTATGTTAGTTCAATTCTCTTCCTCACTTACTAAACCCCTACCTTACCTACATTGGCCCACTTGTATCATTCTGACCTCAGGACTTTTGTCTTTGCTGCTTAGATGTTTTGTCCACATTTCAATCGTAGTTAAAAAACCAAATCCCTCTTTCCCATATCGCCAGGTTGAATTTCCCTGCAGCGCTTTGCACTCTATGTATAAATGTTTTATTTATGTTTCCACTTGTTGACACCCCTGCCTGAGGGTTAGCACCCCAAGTACAGGAGCTTCATCCACCTCTTCTCTACCGTGTTCCTACTGCCTGGAACGGAGTCTGGCATGTGGGGGCTCAGGAGAAGTCTTGGGGGTGGAGCGAGTGACTCCCTTGCCGTGTCTGTCCCGAACTGCTTCCTCTCGCGGTTCTGGACGGAGGACCTGGCAGTGCTGCCCTCTGCCTGGACTCTGCTTGGGAATTCTGGCCCATCCTCCCGGCCTTGTGGGCCCCGTGACAGGGACCCTGCCCTCGGACTCAGGGAGACCAAGCAGCAAAGGTCGCCGCCAGGGCCTCGCAGCAGGAATGGACTCGGTCAGCAGCCTCGTCGGCTCACGCCAGCTGCTGACTGGGACCTTCTGTCTTGCAGGACGTTACTGAGGGCCGTAAGATGCTCCTGCCGTAGGCCAGCATCCTGGCCTTTTCCTGTCAAATTCCTGGAGGCACAGAATCTGAGTCTCGGTGTACAAAAGGCGCCTCCTCCTACCTGAGCAGGACTTCCAGTTCCCTACTCAGGAACCGAGGGGTCCCCACAGCCCCAAATCCTGCCTCAGCTCAGCTAATTACAGTTTAGGTTGTCATTATAACACCTCACTTTGGGGCACCAATTGCTTCTTTCTTTCTTTCTTTCTTTCTTTCTTTTTTGGTGAGACAGGGTCTCCACAAGCAGTTCAGACTGGTCTTGAACTCGCTGTGTAACCCAGGATAGACTCAAACTCACATCGATCCTCCTGCTTCAGCCTCCCAAGTGCTGAGATTACAAGCATGCATGACCATACCTGACTCTGGTGCGGCAATTTCTAAATGCATTAGTAGCTTCTTGGTTCTTAATGACCAGACACACTGTCTTAATGAACATAAGCAAAAAGGCAGCCACACTGGTTCCTAACATTGAGAAGAGTGAGTGTTTCAGGCAAGGCTGGATCCAGGACTCCAGTGAGGCGACTCTGACGGCCTTTTCCTCGTCCTCTGCCCATAAGTTGTGGCTCTGTTTCCTTCTGCGTGTTGACTTAAATCTCAGACAAGCTTTTCTCTACGGCGTGAAAGGCACTTCTGCCTGCCCTGCGTCCACACTGGTCCTGAGCCAGCAGGTTTTCTCCTGGGGCCCGTACACTGACCTTTTAGCAGCAATCAGACCGGCCGTGTCTGTCACCTCTGTTCTTTGTGCCACGTACTATATCTGGTGGGGTGGGTACCTCGGCCAGCATTTCCCCTGGAACCACAGGAAGCCATCTCTGCACCTGTGCCCAAAGTCACCCAGTTCAAACGGAAAGCAAACAGAAATGACCATGAAGGTCACAGCTGCAGCGCTGTGGTCATTGCTGTGCGGGTCGCGATGTCAGTCATGTTTCCTTGCTCAGGCGCGAATGGGCACAGTCCTGGGCGAGTCCCAGGGCAACAACTGTCCCCTCACAGCGTGTGCTTCTGCTGAAGGAGCTGTCCAAACTGAGGCAGTGGAAGCCAAGATCGCTCTGAATTCCCTCTGGGCCCAGTGACTTTCTCGCCCTTCCCACAGATGGTCACAGGCCAGGGGCCTCTCTCCTCGTGAAGGAACCCGGTCCTGGGGTGGGCCATCGTTCAGTGACACACACACCGCCGCCACCACCCTCGCCACAGTGCATTGCATGAGTCACAGTTGCCAGGGGAAGGAAAAAGAATTACATGGTTAAATAAATTCAAGCAACTCTAGGTTACGTGAAATCAACTGCACTTCTACCATGCAGGACTTCTCAGAGCCTTTATTGTGCTAATAAATCTTATGACTTTCAGAGAGAAAGAGAGACACAGAGAGAAAGAGAGAGAGAGAGAGAGAGAGAGACAGACAGAGAGACAGAGAGACAGAGAGACAGAGAGAGACAGAGAGAGAGAAGCATTTCCCACAGCACTTTGTCTCTGAAGTTCTTTTTTGGCATATGATCTAATAGCTCTCATGTCCTATGGCAAATACTGGGAGAACAGATAGATAATAGGATTTGGAGCTAGAACTCAGCTCTGTCATCTGGCAGCAGTGTGACCTGCATATATCAAGCCTCAGTGTCTCCACCTGTAAATTGGGATCATTACCATTATTGCCTTACCTGCTTTCTTTTCTCCTTGCCATGGGCATGAAGTCATCCAGCAGAAGGCCTGGCACCATGAGTTGCTCTTCTGGGATGAAACTGATGTACCTGGCACATCAATGGGTGTGACCATTGTTCCAGGTGGTCACAACTTGAGCAGCTCGAGCTGGGTTATGGTGCCCGTAATCCACACTGAATCCCCCAGGCACAGAAACCCCATCTCCTTGAACACAACAACTTGCTTGTGTCAGACATCTTTAAGACTCCCCTGCAGAGAGCTGATGCCCCCCACCAGTTGCTGGGAGCATCACCAGCAGTGATGTCAGTGCTGAGGGCTCCCGCCAACAGGCTGGCATAGGGGAGGGACAGTTGTCACAGGAGCAAGGAACAGAAACCTCTTTGTCCAGAGTCACTGCTGTCCAGTTCCTCTGGGGAATCATCAGATCTGAATTCCAGAACTTCTTTACATTTCCTATTGCTTATTACCACGCCAAATGTCACAAGCTTTATGAATTCCTCCCTACAGACTCAGAGTGTGTGAACAATGATTTTTTTTTAAGGATAATGAGTGTTTCCCCACTGAAGCTTTGTACTACATGAGCCTTGGACACAAGGCTGGCTAACAGGTCTTAGTCACTTTCCTCGTTGCTGGGACAAAATACCCAACATCTGCAATTTAAAGGAGAAGAGGTTTATTTTGGTTCATGCTCTGGAAGTTTCAGTCCTCGCAGGGTCTGCAGCCTGGGCGAAGGGAAGCTGCTCACCTCATGGTGCTCAGGAAGCAGAAGGCCAAGAGACGAGCCAGAAGGGAGAGTTAAACCCGTCTAGGTCGTGTCCATAGTGAGCTGCCTCCTCCAGCCAGACCCCTGCTCCTGAAGGCAAGTTGGTCACGGTGCCCGTAATCCAAACACCTCTCCCCATCCTGTGCACTCAAATGGAGCCAAGAGAAGGAGCAGTGAGATTTTTCTTCCCCCCCAAGACCCAGGGGGGGCCCAGGCAGGGGCAGAGACAGGTGCAGTGGCCCTTCCCCCATGCTGGAAGCTTCCCCCACAAACCCCCACATTCTCTGTTTCCCTGGAGCTATGTTTTTGTCTCTAATGACTAAGAGTTCTGACTACTAAAAGGAATGTTTGAACCATTTATTCCTAAGTGGAAATTCAATAAATGTTTCCTAATCACTCACTTTGTGCAAGACCTTCTAGCAGCCCTGGGAGCACGGACAGGGCACAAGCCACGTGTTCCCTGTCCTCCTAGAGCATTGGGTGAACTGACTTGAAATATTACCTTTAATTCTTGATTATAAAATGGATCTAAACAGTAGATGCCAGGCATGGTATACATATGTGTAATCACAACACCCCAGGAGGCTGAGGCAGGATGATTTCAAGTTCCAGTCCAGCCTAAACAGTTTAATGACTTGGTGAGACTTTGTCTCAAGATGAAAATGAAAAAGGTCTGGGATGTGACTGAGTGCAAAGATCCTGCATTCAGTCCCCACTACCGCAAAAATAAACACCCCCAAAATAGTCGAACACGGCCAGGAGTAGTGGTGCATTCCTGTAATCCCAGCACTTGAACTGCTGTGAGCTTGAGGCCTGCCTGGGTTACAAAGTGCATTCTAGGCCAGCCCAAACTACACAGTGAAACCTTGTCTCAAAAAGACCAAAACAAAACACCCACTAGAAGACATATACCAAAACATTTGAAGGAATGTTTTAAAATTTACTTAAAACCCCATCGTTCGGGATCATCATTATTAGCATTTTCATAGATTTAGGGTTTTTTAAAATGAAGATAGGCTACGCAGTTATCTTGCATTTCTACAAAAGGTATCATGAGCATTTTCTCATGTTATTAAGTAGCCTTCAAAAATGTTATTTTGAAAAGACTTGATTCAAAACAGCTGCATAATATCTTATTCCATGGATAAACAGGATTTAAAAATATGAATCTCCTGCTGCTAGGCACTCAAGTTCTTTCCAACATTATGCTGATATAAATAATGCTGAACTGAACACGCTCATGCAAAACAACTTTGTTTATGGCAAGGGATTTCTCGAGATAATACTTGAGAGGTGGGATTTTGCTAGGCCAAAGGAAGTGAACATTTTAATGTTTCTGGATGGACATCATCAGTCTTCCCAGTAGAGTGCTGCATTTATTTATATGCCCATCATCTTGTGGTTGTTAACTGGACCAGAATTAGAAAAGGCCGGGGAGGTACCTACCTTGGTATCAGATTTCAAGAGGCACCCCAGAACTCAACGGATCAGTCAGATTTTTGTTGCTGTAGCCAAATACCTGATTACACAACTCAAAGAAGAAAAAAAAAAAAATCTGGTTGGCTCACAATTTCAGAGGGTCCAGTCCATGGCTGGATGATTCTAAGGCAGAAACATTATGGTAAAACAAGGTGGCAGAGGAAAGGTTCTCACCTCAAGGGAGCCAGATAGTAGAGACAGCAAGAAAGAGGCAGGGGAAGTGGAGGGAGATCCCTTTTCAGGTCACATGAACTGTTTTTCCTAACCTGTCTCACCTCCTAACAGCATTATCAGCCATGAACTTATCAGTGAACTAATTTTCATGATACAATCACCTTCCAAAGGCCTCACCTCTGAACTCATCAATGTTTGGGGGAATGTTTTTGATCCAAACTATAACAGTTGTTTACTTGATTAGATAAAAATTATTTTAATGGAATACTCTAAAAGTTGAAGGTAATGCAAAAAATCCCCAATGAATAAAATATACAAGTTTAATTAAAATAAAATTAATACAAACAAGATTTAAGAGTACCCATTATTGTTCTGTGTTGGAGCCTAAGGGGAAATGTATGCCTTTATATGCATGATTTTGTATATTCATAAAAAATGACTTCCAGAGTGTTACAGTTGGAAAGTTGGAAAACATTACAGAATTCAAAAGTGAATGTATTAAAATTCATAGTAGTGTTTAAGTTTAAACACTTTGGATTTATATTCATATATTTTGCTAAATTTTAATACTCATCAAGTGTATTTTCAAAGTTTTCTCTCATTTGTTATAATTTACAACTCTCAGCCTAAAATGGCGTAAGTACATTAGACTTTGAATTTTGATTTTTAGTGGGGTTATTTCCATTAAAGACAGGAAAGCAAAGATCATAATAAATTCCGATTTTGTCATAAATAAAATACTTAAATTTAAAAGATTTTAATTTAAAATAATTTAATATCTTTCATTTTTCAACCTTCTTTAACTGTTCTAGAAAAAAATTAACTGTTAAAAAAATTACAGGACTGGGGATGTAGCTTTGTGGTAAAGCACTTGTCTAACATGCTCCAGACCCTGAATTCAATCCCAGTCAGCCAATCAGCCAATCAGTCAATCAGTCAGTCAGCCAATCAGCCAATTAGCCAATCAGCCAGTCAGTCAGTCATCCAATCAGCCAATCAGCCAATCAGCTAATCAGCCAATCAGTCAGTCAGACTATACATGTATAGCGGCAGATACATTTTTCCTTTTCTAGGAGTTCCAGGGTGGCTTGGAACAGCCACAGAATTTAGCCCACTGGTTTTGATGTGAAAATGACAATGGTTACATATTCACTCATTCATTCATTCATTCATTCATTCATTCATTCATTCATTCAGTTTTGTGCACACCTGATGATCTTCCCTGCAGGACACAGAGAGATGAGGATAAGGTGTTCCCTGCCCTGGCAGATACTGTGATTTAGAAGGGAGAGGTGACAGTGGGTCCCCAGAGCATCAGATGGACCTAAACCCTTTCAGAGGCCAGGCTATATATAGCCTTGAACAAGCCATCAGCCTTTCCACGGCTGTATTTTCCTGTTGTAAAACAGTTTAAAAGCCCTTCATTTTGTAGGTGAACAGGAGAAATAACGCCTCATGTTCTACCCATAGCTCACGAGGACAGGTGTAGTTACAACAGCGAATGGCACACTCCAGATAGCTAGAAGAGAGCATTTTAACTGCTCCCAAGGCAAAGACATTCACTGTCTAAGGAGACGGGTGAGCCACCAACCCTGACCCAATCAGGCCAGCTGCAAACATGAGTTGAGATGTCACACTGTGCCCCATAAATCTGTGCAACTGATAATTCAATTAGAAATAAAATATTTATTATAAAAACATTTATCATAAGATATATTTTAAAAAGGGAAAAACCCTCCCTCACAGGGTCATTGTGAAGATGAAATCAGATAATGTAAATCAGTGCCTAGCGCGTAGTGACCATGATTGTGGGGGTGAAAGGGGGCGATCCCTTTCCTGTCCATCATAAAAGATCATGGCTAGCACCCTTGTAACAAAGACAGAGAAGAGATCGAGTTATTTGATCATGGTTTTACATGACACAGAAGCCTTCGGCTGCAGACCCAAAGCCAGAGCAAACCATGCATGTTTATGCTCAGATTCAGTGAATCGGGGAGAGCTGTGGAGAAAGAAGGGTGTGAGCTAACAGACTGAGAGGACCCCATGTGTCCAGATTCCTCTCCTCGGCCTCTCTGTGCAGCAATCCACCCTCCTGGGCGTGAGATCTTACGACCTAAAACCAAACAAGGCAGCTCAGAGATTTCCTTCATGGTCAAGACCTTCAGGTCTTACCCGGAAAGGTGGGAGAAGTCAGAGTAAGATCTTTCGGTTTATGGGAAAGAGGCTTTGGTTTCGATGACCCGCTGTGGGGTAGAGGAAGGCTAGCTTCTCTGGTTTGCCTTAGGGCGGGCCACAGCAGGGCAGGACAAGGTCAGAGAGAAACTTCTCTAGAGCCTTTTCCTCGGGGTATCACGTTCTGAACCTCAGAAGGATCGTGATTATTTATACATCCACTTAGCTCAGGTCATTTGTTCTGCAAACAATGATGCCAAACACTGGGGTTGGCTCTAAGACTTGTGCCAACAAGACGTAAATAACCCTGGATCTCCAGGAGTTTGTGCTCCAGGGTGCAGCAGACACATAAATGAGCATATCACAGCCTCATGCGACAGCGCTGGACAGAAGTTGGGCTATGAAAGATAAAGAGGCTTGTGCTAAGTCGAGAAGAGGAGAGGACAGGAGTGGAGACACGGAACAGGAAGAACCGAGCGGCGGTGTAATTCTGCTATGGCTCCCGAGAGGGAGGAAGACGAGGCGGGCTTGTCCTCACCTCCAGAGGGGAGTCCTCCAGGCCCCGGCAGCAAGGCCATGTGCTTCTCTTCCCTGCACGCCTGTGGTCTGTGGCACAAGGTGCCGAGGGGCTGACGGATTTGATCAGGGTCACAGAGCAAGGGACTCCAGGGCAATCAATTCAGTGAAGGCCGAGCTTCCTATCCGTCCTCTGGGAAAGCTGGAGAAGCCATGGCATTTACATTTGTTTCCCCTTCTTGCAAATCCCATCTCTCACCGCCTCTCCTTTCCTCCTGCCATCACGCATGTGATCCGTCCCTGACATTTGTCTACAGATGTGCCCGGAGACAGTTGCCTGTAAATCACCTCTTGTCAACTTGGAACTAGTGTGAACCTGGCCAATGTTAATCTCGCTGTTTCTCTCCGTCCCACGCTCAGCACCCTGTAAATCCCGTGAGGGTCAGCCTGTGGGCCAGGGTCCTGTCCAGTTGCTTCCCAACACTGGGGACTGCCCATGGCATGTGTTTAGTGCTGAAAATCCAGGGACTCTGGCGACCCTGCTGAGGTCCCATTTCTCCGCATCTTCCCAATCCCCGGGGAGGCGCCTAGCCTCTCAGTCTGGAAGTTACTGAGCTATAAACAGACACTTAAATGAATGAGCTTAGTTAGCCTTTAAAGAATCCTTTGAAGAAGGACTACAACGTGACTAATCACCCCCTAATTTATTGGCCTGTAAATTTGCATCTTCCTACCATACATTTTTCTTCTAAGAGTACCTCCCTCACCCAGGACAAAGGCAATTTCAGGGGTGGCTGAGTGGCCCCCTTAGAAGCTGCAGATGTTAGTCCTTTCCAGCAGTACAGTCGTCATATTGTTTTAATGTCTATAACAAGATTGCACAGGCAAGGGGGGGGCTGGGCAGGGTGGGGCAGGGACAAGATGGAGGGGAAGGATTAGAGGACAAGGAG